CACCCCCGCCTTTGTCCTGTTTGGTATTGCCGCCCCCTAGGGCCCCTGTACTCCTGGTCAGATCAGGGCAATACAGCGGGCGCCTCGGTGCCTCATGCCCCAAGGCTCTCCCAGAGGGCAGTGTGAGGGTGGTGGGTGAGTTGGGTGCTCTTATTTGGCCTTAGTGAGGAGGGGTTAGGGTGGGTGCACGTCCATATTGCCATCCAGGGAAGTGCCAGGGGTGGGGGAGGCCTAGTCTGGATCTTCTTCCCCCAAGAGTGGTGTGTGGGGCCCAGTTGGCTCCTACTGCCCACCCAGGCCCTGGTTCTGTTTGTCCTGGGCCCACCCCTCCACACACGGTCCGCCAGCTCTGCCAGCGCTGGAGGAGGGGCCTCCATGAATAGCTGGCAAAATCCACACACCAGGCCTGTCACAGGAGCATCTGGCAGCCGCCCCATCAAGCTGTCCTGTGCCATGGGGTCAAGCATAACATGTTCTGCAGGGGCATGAATCATGATTAGCACCTGTCACAGGGGAAGGGTGGGGTGCGGAGCCTTCCTTGAGTCATTTCTCCCATCATGCTGACACTCCCTTGTGTACAGTGGGAGGTGGCATCGTGAGGGCCTCCCGGCTCTGTGGGACTGGGACAGCTCTTGGGAGACAGTACCAATTCCAAATTATAGCTCACCTCCGAGACCTGGGCTGGGGGTCTACTGGTACTGCTCCCCCCTGGGCCTCTCAGGAGCCTTGGCGTGGGTATGCCCAGTGGGAGGCTGGACCCAGGCCTGCCCCTGCAGCCAACTATGCGTGACTTCTGCTGAGTGGGTGGCACCAAGCCTTCCACTGCAAACAGCTCTTTAAACTACTGGGTCTAAGCAGCATGGGCTCTGGAGTCCCGTGGCTCCATCCCCAGCAGGGTAAAGCCAGGTCATCCCGGGGAACCTTGGCCTGTGGCAGGGCACCGAGGCTGGACCTGCTGCAGCCACAGGGGGCTGGGTTTCTCACTCAGGGCCGTTCTGAGATCTCGCCATACTGGTTTGTATCAGAGGTGAAGTCTAGACCCCAGGCAGTCAGACGTGGGGTTCCAGCCTTCTCCCCCCCCACCCCACACCAGCCCCCATGTGTCCCACACCCTCACCTCTCCCACTCTCTCACTGCAGGAAATTCTACTACATCACCCTGCTGCGAGACCCTGTGTCCCGCTACCTGAGCGAGTGGCGGCACGTGCAGCGGGGAGCCACCTGGAAGACGTCCCTGCACATGTGTGACGGGCGCACGCCCACACCTGAGGAGCTGCCACCCTGTTACGAGGGCACAGACTGGTCAGGCTGCACGCTGCAGGAGTTCATGGACTGCCCCTACAACCTGGCCAACAACCGCCAGGTGCGCATGCTGGCCGACCTGAGTCTGGTGGGCTGCTACAACCTGTCCTTCATCCCCGAGGGCAAGCGCGCCCAGCTGCTACTGGAGAGCGCCAAGAAGAACCTGCGGGGCATGGCCTTCTTCGGCCTGACAGAGTTCCAGCGCAAGACGCAGTACCTGTTCGAGCGGACGTTCAACCTCAAGTTCATCCGGCCCTTCATGCAGTACAACAGCACCAGGGCAGGCGGCGTGGAGGTGAGCGAGGACACTGTGCGGCGTATCGAGGAGCTCAACGACCTGGACATGCAGCTCTACGACTACGCCAAGGACCTCTTCCAGCAGCGCTACCAGTACAAGCGGCAGCTGGAGCGTAGGGAGCAGCGCCTCAGAAGCCGCGAGGAGCGCCTGCTGCACCGGGCCAAAGAGGCGCTGCCACGGGAGGACACCGAGGAGCCGGGCCGGGTGCCCACGGAGGACTACATGAGCCACATCATCGAGAAGTGGTAGTGGTGGCCCTGGAGGAGGCCCCTGGGGCAGTCGGGAGAGGGGAGGTGACATCGGGTAGACAGCTCACAAGGGGCCGCCCAGTACTCGGATAGGAAGAGAGTCCCAGATCTGCTCACCAGAGGGTAGGTGCGTCCTGAACAAAGACCAGGGATGGGTAGCACTGGCCCGGTGGAGCTGGTTCTCACAGTTTCTCCCAGGCTCCAGGTCTGAGAAACCAACCTGTGTCGCCCACTGGCTCAGAGGAAAGCATGCTTGATGGATGCTACAGTCAAGCCCACACAAGACCAGGGCAGATGACATCCCTGTGCTCCCCTCTCACAGTCACAGCGGCTCAAAGTCTGAAGATAAGAGCTGAGAGTGGGGAGTGGCCCTGCCAGACCAGGAGTGTGTTCCATGCCCCTATGCACATGCCCCTCTCCTTGCACAGGCCAGTAGGGGATCCTCAGGCTCACACCATCCCAGCCCCAGCCCTGTATGAAGTCCCTCCATGAACAAAACAGTCCTGTGAGGTGTTGTCAGGGATGGAGCTCCACACTCGCCCATCTTCAGTGTCAGGGCCACCCATCTGCAGCCAGGAAGACTAGTCCACTGCTGGGAAGCTCCTCCCCTCTTTGCTTCCTGCTTTTGGTCAGGAGATCAGGGCATACCTGGCTCCTCCACCCTTCCGCAGTCATCACTGAGGAGGCTGTGAAGAATGCATCCAGGCGTGGGAAGGCTGCACACAAGCCGGCCTCTGGGGTGACCACCAGTCAGCCCAGCTCAGACAGCAAGGGGGATCATAACTGAGGGGCCCCCTGCCCTATTCTTCTTTCTGGCCTCAGGCACTTCTTAGTGGACGGCCCTGGCCCTAAGCCCATCACTTGCACATGTGTTCAGAACCCCTACCCCACCGCTCCCACCACCCCAGGTATGAGTTGAGCTAAGCCTCCCAGGCCAGAACATGCAGATCATAGTTGCTGCCGTGAGCCACGGCTCAGGGCCATGTGGTTTTTGATGGCCAGGAACAGGAACTCAGGCTTTCAGATTCTCTGCTAGGGTTAGAAGAAATGGCTCTAGGCGGCTCCCTGATGCCCACATTTACAGCCCTCCCCACCCTGGGCTCTCCCTGCATTTCCCTGCCCCCAAAAGCTAGTCAGGCCCTGTTTCCGGCAGCCCTGAGGATTGGAGAAGCCGCATTCCAAGGCCGGGCACTGAGTGCAGTGCCTTATCCGAATGAGGCACAAACTCTGGGTTCTGGGGTGTTGAGTGTGTGCCCCACACACATGCCCAAAGCCACAGGCCTACCTCAGGGAGGACAGCAGGGGCAGCACCTCACAGGCAGATCCCACCAGCGGTTCCCTGCCCCGGGTTCCTTCTGCCGCCCTCACTGTCCCACCGGGGGTGAGGAGTGGGTGAGCAAGGAGCCTCCACAGCACAGGAAAAGCTAAGTTGGTGTCAAATGAGGTGGCTGCCCAGAAGGAAGCGGCTTTAGTCTTTGTCTGGCATCAGTCCTTTAAACTTCGTACACTGGCTGCGTATCCTGTGTCCAAGGCAGAGCAGCCAGCCAGCAGGTCGGGTGGTTGTGCCGGCCCCAGGAGTGGGAGGTCGTGCTGAGGAGCAAGCACCTGGGTGATTTAGTTAGGGGCTCTTTTAAAGGGAAGTGAAGGGCAGTGTGGGGTGGGGGGTCTGCTCTGATGCTCAGCACTTGGGGCCGGTGTGCTCCAGGCAGGAGGGTGGACACGCTCACAAGAGCTTGGGAGGTGGCCGACTCCAGGCCTGAGTGCAGAGCAGCCTGTCTGCCCGGGCCTGGCTCAGGATGGCCTCCTCGCAGCCGGCTTCCCTGGCGTGAGCCTGAGCATAGGGCCTGTTCTGCATGTGTTGGGAGTGTTTGATGTATGGCCTGTTCCAATTCATGTGGAAATGTGGGTCTCTTCTCAGTCTTTTTGCTGCGCCTGGAAAGCAGCCCTGTCTTGGGCCATGCCCGGGCTGAGGGCCCAGAGCTGGTGCCAGCTGCATCCCCACAGCCCCTCTGGTCTCCAGGGCACTGCCATGTAGGCCTACTCTAGGAGGAAGGCTCCTTGTGCCTACAGGCTCCTCTGATGCCAAGGGCTGGGCTCCTCAGGTGGCTCAGGTGGCCCCACCCAGAGGGTCCTCTAGGGCTGAGAGGACAGAAGCAGACAAGCGGTGAGTGACCCTCACTCCACACACAGGTCCTCAATGGCCTCCCCCTGGGGGAGGAACGGGACAGCAGAACTGTCTGAGTCTGTGGACTTTTTTGAGAACTGGAAGTGTTTAACTTGAACCCAGGAGCATTTAAAGCTTTATTTATTTATAGCTTCTTGTTTAAAAAAAGTGTTGAGAAGAAATCTTTGGTTATTCATACAAAAAAATGAGTTGATGGAAAACAAGTCATAATCACTTAATTGTTTTTGTCTGGGGCAAGAGTGAATGTTAGCTGATGAAATAAACCCTGAGAAGGAGCCTGGTGTGCTGTGTCTGAGTTAACAGCCATCTGCCCAGCGTGGCGTGGCGGGGGCCTCCCAGTTTGGTTTCAAAATGAGCATGTGGGATACAGGACTTAATGCAGGAGCAGAGGGGCCCCTCAGCTGCAGGGCCAGTGAGAGGAGTAAACACTGTCTCACTGTGTGATGCTCTGTGGAAGTAGACAGGACTGTCGTCACCACAAAGGATAATTTATTAATCACTAACCCAGTGCTGGAGGGATCGATATGCCACATGCTCGTTTTCTTGATGACCTTCCCTCAGCTTCTAAGTGGTTCGGACCCCAAGGCCTGGGGGTCTCCTACTCCTCCCCCTTCCCAGAATCTATGTCTGGAATCTGTCTGGACCATCCCTGTGGGAGAAAGAACTGGGGGGAGGGGCTGGGAGGCTGAGGTTTCTGACCCACCCAGCCTGCCAAGGGGAAAGGGCAGGTCCATCATGTGAACAAAGGGGCGAGCAGAAACCCAACACACGGAGACAGCCAGGACCCACGGAGTCCCACCTCCTGATCACGGATGTCTTACGTGGAGACGAGGCAGACACACGGCCCCGTAAACCCTGTCCTCAGATCCAGATGCAGACAGTGCTCTTGACTACCTGGCCCCTGGGGGAGCATCCCTGCCCTGTTTAATAACAAGGCAATCCTGCATGGAAGAGCGGTGTGGAGAGACTGGCCTAGGGACCCCCTGGGGACACTTCCTATGGGACCTCATGCCCCTCCCTGGAGAACTGTGATGGGGTGCCCTCTGCTTGGAGCTCCATTTGGCTCTGCAGGGCCAGTGTGTGATCAGACAGGTGAAATCAGCTCTGAGAACACCTGCCCCCGGAGGTGGGAATCTCATCCTCCTACCTGTATTAAATGGAAGATACTAAGTCTGAGGCTGAAACCCAGGAGGCTGCTGATCCCTGCCTGGCCCGTCACCCCTTCCCTACACTCGCTGTAGCCTCCCTTTTGCTAGCCCCACCTGTTGCCCCCCCCTTCTCCCTGTGCCCTTCTGCACTGCAGGGCAGCCTGCTTGCTCCTTGGGCCTCTGGGTTAGGACAGTTCTCCCTCCCTTTGTGGCCAGCTGCCAGCCAGCCTCATC